CATTACAGGCACCCTTCCCCGGGAAGCACTGCCGGCCCAATGGACCCGGGCCCCCCGGTCTGAATAAGCGTGTGGAACTGCGGGGACTTGTAATAACTTAAGCAGCGTAACGCACTGATAACGATTTTTAGATCGTTTTCCCTGGCCTGGCCTCTGGCAGGCCACCTCGCCGCCGTAGAGGGCCGTGCCTTTGCAGCCACAGAAGGAAGTGGGAAAGGCGACAGTCCCAGCGGGAGGGCAGGCCTGGCCTTTGGGTGCCGGGTGCCGGGAGGCTGCTCCGCAGGGGGGCGGGTGCAGCAGCTCGGAGGGCTGAGCGAGTGCGGAGAGCTGTGGGCTTGGCAGGGGGGGGGCGGGGAGAGGCGAAGAGGTCGACAGCAGTGACCCGGAAGACGCTCTGCAAGTGGGACCCAGTTACCGGGCAGAGCCTTCCTTCCTTCGGGGAGGTGGCGGTATTCGGGTTGTTTGGCAGTGTTCGGGTTGTGAGGTCAGCGAGAGGGCACTGAAGGCAAAGACTGTCAGATTCCTCGTAGTCGCTCCACACCTAGGGCAAAGAGAGCTGGCATTCGTATGGTCATACCCTGCGGGTGAAAGGACTCGCCTGGTGTGAGCCTAGGGGATTCCCAGTATCTACCAGGTACAGCTCAGCTAACCAAGGGAATCGAATTCGGAAACTCTTGTAAAAGCACACCCTCCCTCCTAAAAAGGGCTACACCAAAGTGCAACAGAATATATTGTACCGCCCACAGGAGACTTTTTGATACCTCGAGGGTCGTGGCACCACGCACTTCAGAAGCTCCTTGTAACCCTTCCTTGGAGAACATTAACTATGTTCTTCTTTGCAAACTGCACCGCCAACCTAGGGAGCTTCAGCTCCTTCCCAGACCTGCAAGAACGAGTGTTTCATTGGGAGCTGCGAGGGGCTGGGGTGGATTGGGGGAGGAGGATCAAACCGAGAGCTAGAGCTCGAGGTTCCGTGCTGCTTCTTCCACCCCCGCTGGGCTGCTGGTGACCTTTCCGACCTTTTACAGGAGATGATTTTACAATAGACCCAAGCCTCTGATTTCTTGATCAAGGCCCTCAATGTGTGGCCTAAATACACCTTCTTGGCCAGGAGCCAGAGTAAATAGTCAAGGGTTGCTCTCAAGGAAGAAATAGGAAAAGCTGTCTCTAGATAAGCAAACTTTTTTTTTTTTTTTTCCTGCTGA